ACATCCGAACAGTATAAACAAACGTCATACGAACTATGCACAGGTATGCATAAGCTTAAATATTGCGAGAGATTCAAAAAATTAAATATTGCCGTTCGAAACAATTTTGTATATACAAAACGAATTTGTAAAAACTGCTTATCACATGCGCATACGCTTAAGGATTGCGAAAGCAAATTTAATTGTGTTTATTGTCGTAAACGACATAATTGTATGCTTCATTATAACAATTTTTCCAGCTCACCCCCAAACAGCGCAAATATGAAAAGAGCCATGAGCTTTGTTGCAAAAGCAAATCCCGAAGTGGTAAATCCCGAAAATTGCAAAGAAGCACCATGCTGCTCAAAGGCATTAAAAACACAAACGCTACACAGCGAGTTTCAAATTACTACCCACAGCAGTCATCTGGCAGCAGTTGGATCCTAAGTGAACTAGTCTAGTTACGGAACCAGTTACCACCATGACAACTCAAGTTTAGGAAATCTCAAACGAATACTTCAATTCACAATTAAAGGAAATGTTGGGAGAATAACTCCCCCCATTTCACTTACAACCCCAAAAGATCAGTATTGTGAAGACTTTTACAAAACTAAAACTACATACTCGATCAGATAATCGCCAATATGTCGTATGCCTGTCACTAAAGCCAGAATTTCCCTACACATTCGCCTTAGGTCACTCGCGCACCTCTGTAATACAGTAGTTTTTAAGTAAAAACCTACGAGCTGAAACCAGAAAATGATAAGGTATTAGAAGAATACCTCCATTCCATTAAGAGGATCTCGGGCCCTCAGAGTAGTCGCATACGTGTTCAAATTTATAGAGCCACTCAAAACCGAACACACTTCCAATAGGATACAGTGGCGCACCAGCAAAGGTAGCTTTTATCGCGTCTACTCAAGCGCACTAATTCAGCAGCGAGATATCATTACTAAGAGAATCGAGATTGATAAAAAGGGCTCACTCTTAGTACTAAATCCATTTCTGGATACGAAAGGTCCTCTTCGTGCGAATGGTCGGCTTGTCAACTCCAGCCTGACATATAACAAACGCCATCTCATAATTATACCAGAAAAATCAAAACTAACCACATTACTACTCTGTTATATTCACATACTAATGCTACGCTGAAGATCGCCTAATGCAACATATAGTTCTATATCCCCCGACTTAAGCGTCAAATAAAAAAGTGCATTTTCATGCACAAGCAGAAGATGCGAAAGCATATTATGGCAGCACTTCCACCGGAACGCTGTAATTTTGCTCTGCTTTCACTATTACAGGTGTTGATTTTGCTGGGGCTTTTCAGATGAAGGCTTCACTATGGCTCCGATGGTCATATCTCCGTACGCAAACCGGAACGCTAACTAGACCGCTTGTAAAACTATGATTTTTACCAATCGCCGATAATAACGAAAATTTGAAAATAATCCATTAGATATATCTCAGATATATCTCAATTGAAGATGATTTTATTACACTTTTAACTGACGCGAAGTAGAATATAGCAATAAAACTAAGTGAGTATATGACTTACAATATAACTTAATAAATACAAATTTGATTGTAATCAACTGACGATTTCGTTTTATATATTACATAGCTGCCATCAAACTGACCGATTAAAATCTAGTTTTTCTATAGACAACTTTTGTATTTGTAAAGGGTAGTATATCTTCAGTGCTATCGAAGTTAACATTTTTTTCTTATTATTCAGTTTATTTGGTTCAAAATTTCAATTCTAAAATCTTATTTGCCTGGTAAAAAACTTTAGCCATGAGAAAGGCACCGGAAATTGTGAATGAAATTTGTGAAGTCATATAATATATTTGAAGTCTATTCATTGTACTTACTATTCTGTTGAGAACGTCGAAAGAGCCGAATAAGATAAAGCGTATACCTATATTAATATATTTCGATATCTAATATTTATTCTCGTTAGAATAACAAATTTACCAGAGAAAGCTGTATAGCCATGTGTTACCTTAGTTATTAACTGTTCAATAGGTCCCCCATTTTCTCCATTTATCTTACACTCAAAACATGTACATACTTACAAGTATTCATCCGATAAAAGAACAATAAATAAATGTATATAATCTCTTCTTCAACTGATCCTTACCTTACCAGTTGTGACTTACATTCTTAACTCGCAAGTGCAGATTATACTTAAATACATACATACAACTAGATATGTGCTTTTGTTTTGTATTCTATCCACAAATTCACAGAGTAAGTGTATCAAACACCCCCACCTAGACTTGTGATGTTTGTGATCTCTGAGTAATCACCATGAGTGCATTTTCGTTTTTTTATTTGTTCAAAATCTAATAATACTAAGACTTACACATACAAGCACGAGTATTGTCGAGGCGACAAGCCACCCCAAAAAGCAAACTAAGTTGCCTCTCGCCTGTGCCACGGCAATGACGGTGAAGGCGGTACGAAAACATAGAACACATCCAAGTAACCTCAAACAAAATATTCGTAACCGTGGGAAAGGCAATGAGCAGACGTTTCTCACGCGTGATTGGCACGTGCAGGCCGCACTTTTACGTCGCTTTATGATTAATATTTGTATGTGTGTATGTACGTGTGTGTTGGCTTCTACGTCTTGCTTTTGTGTCGAATAACGTGGATATACTTGTATGTATGTACATGCTTATACATTTTAACAAACAAAAAGATATGGGCTTTGCTCATAAAAATATATGGAAGTTTATAATATTCTTTACAGATACAAATAATTTTATTTAAGAGGTGTGTTCAAATTTATTATTACATTTCAAAATTCCCGCTACTTTCTGAACACACCGCGTAGTTCAGATATGTATGTTGGCGCATATTTTCAATTATTCCTGAAAAATGCTTGCGTTGTGTAAAATAAGTTTTTACCCAATTGTGCAGAAGGAAACCTATGTACTAGATTAGCCCGAGGACGAGTATATACAACTATAAACACAACGTTCGCGTAGGGAACATCATCTAAGAAATATACAAAATACTCAGATATACATGAGCTTATCCTGCCGTGTAATGAACTAGTATGAACCGCTATCTAGCAACTGGTATTTTAAGTACTTACGAAGTATCAATTTTGAGAATTTGGTCAGAAAAATATTAGTCTAGTCTTCAAAAGACATGTAAAGCTATCTAATTAGATCTATCTACATATGTATATAAAAATTAATGTTTGTCTGTATGTCCTTTATAGAACCGTAAACATTTGATCATATGATGATCTTTAGCAAAGCTGTTGTGCATGAGGTTTCTGTTTTCGACAGATGAACAAAATCAATAAAATTACTCAAAAAATATTCTTCAAATTTATTTTTGTTGGCGGCGTAGCAACGCGCGCAGGGTATACCTAGTTTATTTACATCATCAGGAATTTATTTATGACTACGCCGCGGTTTTAAGGAAAAAATACCTATTTAAAAGTGAAATTGCGCTCTCTTTGTAAACCCATTTTCCAAAAGGCTTACTTGTTATATTTCTAAAGCTTTTCAGACCAGTTCGATTGTGGGCAGTTTATTCCAGTTGCAACTAGTTTGATGTTTCAATTGCAGGTTTCATACATATATACTTGTAAATATTTTTGGGTCATATGTTGCCTTTACTGTGACAACTTTTCTCTGCTGAAAATCGGAACATAAATTACTTGAGATTGGCAAGCTAATAGACAACATTCACGCTACCGGTCCCGGTTAAAATCTGTATAAAATTTATTCAGATTTAAGTTGATATATTCGTCATAATTTCATATAAGTTTTTCAAATCATTTTTACTGATATTAATTCAAGTTTTTTCTTTGATGTTAATTCAAGTTACACTTTGTGAGCGTGGTGACCGATAAGAAAATAAATTGTTTTCTTTTATTTAATAAATGAGAAGTTAATATTGTTTAAAATATTTTTATTATCTTACAATATATGTAGGTTATTCAGTAATTTTTATTATTGAAACTATAGGTTTATGGCAACTGAAATAACTTTGAGACTTGATATCCTCTAAATATCTGGAAAATACCGCGTCTAAGGTGGTCCCATATTTTGTTGTGGATTCTTGTGGATCATTATTCATTTTAAAATTTAATTTTTCCGAAAGAAAAGTTGTCAACCGCTCCGATATTTAATCAGCGAAGTTGATGTTAAAATCGCCAGCCAATATAAGTAGAAATTTATTACCATTGATAATCCGATTCAATAGTATTGTTAAGTCAAACGAGATACTGTTCCACAAGGTGGGATAGCATTTACCAAAATATTAATGATGTTACTAATATTATCACACCGAATATTGAATAAAGTTTTTTTATTAATTAAATTTTTATTAAATTCTATATTTTTATTTGCCATTAAAAAAATTGTATCTTAAATATTAATACGGAATCCGTTACGGAATTTCTTGATTCAGTCCCAACGCTCAAAGCCCGCGATAGAAGCTCGTTCAGTTTGCATGGCAACTAAATCTTAAGTAATCCGATCTGAAACATTTGTTCGGAGATTATAGCATTGGCTTGGACAATAATTTGTCTATAATAATCCGAATTTCGTGAAGATATTGTATTTCATCAAATAAAGGACTTGATTTTGATTGATTAGTTTATACGGCTGTACTAAGGAACTCGTTTTGGTTACGACACGCAAGGTTTGCTGACGACTTTTGCCATGGAAAAAAAATGTATCAACGAGTTTGCTTGAAAATTTTATTTCCAGTAAAATCACAGCTACGCATTGTTTAAAATGTCGCAGAATTGTTTTTTGAGGAGCCTACTTGATGACGAACAAAAGTTTTGAGTGGCACAAAGCACTCAGTGAAGGTTGTGAAGCCATCGAAACTTGCCTCATGCGATGATTGTGACTGACTTTTTTGCAAAACAGGAAACGAAAGTCTTCGCCCTGCCACCGATCTCGCCAAATTTGACTCTCTCTAACTTTTTTCTGGTTTCGAAACTGAAAAGTCTTTTATTGAGTCTATGTTTATGAAAACAAATAAAATTTTAGGTATTATATGTATAGACGAGTATGAACGTAGGTATATGTACATATTGTATATGTATAGGTATATCATTTATTAGTAGTACAAATTAGAGGAGCGCTGAGATGAAATATGTACATATGTATACTGAATATTCATAAATAAGTACATATTATTGCTTAATTTAAGACACAATTTCATTTTTAGATACATATGTATGTAGGTACAAAGTTTTTATGTATTTATGTAAATATAAGCTATATGAGTATATCCATTGATTGTAGATGAACGATGTTAACTAATAGAATAATATTAAAGGCTTGTAATATTACATTGAATTCATAACTTCACGTTTATGCAATGCAGCGTTGCTTTACACCTGGGACCGACATAGATTACCACCAGCGAATTGGCGTCGCTCGTTGAGGGAACTGCCCAGCAAGTCCTCATCCAACCATGTTTCCAATGTCGTGGAACTAGAGCGAAAGCTGGACTTTTGCGACTCGCTATCTAATTTAAATTTGGAAATACGCTTTTCACTTGAATTATTCCAATTCATATCCGTGAAGTCATTCCAACTGCCATCGATGTAAAAATCATCGTCTAGCGAATTGCCATTGATGTCCCATTTGACAACGGGCATCAATTTATCGAAGCGGTCACGCTGCTCTGCTATAACCACGCTTTCGAATTTTCCAGGATTCTTAATTTCCAAATTCAGTACATTAATAGGCACATATGAGGGTATATTTTGTGGAAAAGAATGGACGGCTGGTGGTTGACGCATACTGCCGCCGTTGTGGCTGCGTTTTGCTTCAGCGGTATTGCGAGTGCGTTTTGGTGGATCAGCGAGCGAAGCAGCGTTTTGTGTGCTCTCATTGTGGTTGTTATCGTCAAAGTTGTCTAAGCTTAAATTGGACGGTGTGCGACGGAAATAGCGTATGTGCTTTTTATATCGCACTTTTTCGAAGACATCGGTGTGTGTAGAGATTTCGGGCTCATACACTATTTCATCAGAGACTGTGTCGCCGCGCGGTTGCTCTAATCGTTGAAATTCATAGCCGTCGGAGGTTCGAGTTAAGCGTGTCGTCAGGCTTTGCAGCATCGTGTTATTCTCGATATCGGTTAAACTTAAATTTTCTATGTCAGCCTCGTATGCCGATGATGTTTCGTAGTCTTGGACGGGATTATTTTCCTTGAAATTATATTTTTGATTACTAGTTTCGTTTTCCTGCGTATATTGCGTTTTTCGTAACGACGGTTCTTTATAGTACGAAGTTACGTCGGGATTATCATTGTATATTTCGTCTTCTTCTTCCAGTTTTATCGCAGACATCGGTTTGAAGGGAGTAATTTTGCGAAATATCTAAAATAACAAGTACATTTATTGAAAATACATCAATTTACAGAAAGAATGGCCAGAATAAAATAAAACAAAAAATTCATTTTAATATACTTGTATTTTTTTCTTTTGAACAAACTTTAACTTATTGTATTGTATAGAAACAAGGTCTCGCAACTGACCAAGATGTGAAAGTTAAGAAGTAAAGTTTTAAATTAATGATAAATGTTAAATGTCAAACAACTAATATCTTATTGTTGGTCTACTTAAACACAGTGGTTTTAATATTTTTTTATACAATATTGAATTTACAAAATAAAAATTTCAACACTTTGTAAAATTTTTATTATTAATATATTTAGTTGTGCGGTAAGTTCTGTTCAGGCCGTTATAAAAATGAAAATATACAGATTTTTTTTTTTTTTTTTAAATTTATTTAATAACGCGGTTATTAAATGAGCGGTGTAAAAATTATAATTAGAATTTTTGCTTTCACACAAGCTCAAACGATTCAGCCATTGAATAATAGCAGCAGGTACTGTTTCTACTGGTTTTGACGACGCTGCTCGAACCGAAAGATATTTTGAGGCTCACCAAATTTTTGTGGATTATTGTCCCACAAAATTTTTATTAAAAGTTTTAGCAAAGTTTCAACACGAGGTATTAAAGCGAAAAATTTATTTTCAGTTTTAATTCCAAAAACTTACGTCTATTCCTTATGTGGAACATATTACCGATCTTCCGGATGCCTTACACATGGCTTTTGACACTATCGTTGACTTTTTACCACAACTATTTATTAGAGTGCGAAATATCTTAATAATATAATATATACGAGAGTAGTCGAATAGAAAATTTAATAAATATTGAATTTAAGAGATTTTCTAAAATAAAGTTTTGCACTCATCGGGAAATATTTTGAATTATTTAAAAATTAGTTTAAATCGAAACCTGCATTATAGTACTACTTTTACAGTGTTATAAATTGAAAATTTTCTGAATCAAAAATTTAACTTTTGAATACATACATACAACAAATTCAAAATTAAAATATCTTTTTATGAAAATACGGTAAAACTGTTTTTTTTTTATAATATCTCAAGAGCTACATAACAAAGCAATCAAAAAAGGGCAAGTTCTTGTGTAACCGAACATTTTATATTATCGCAATTTGCCAGGATCAAAGCCGGGGAAGTAATTCCCCTAATACTAATTTTTCGGTGAATCCGTGAATGTATTATATTAGTCATCTTATTAACCTATACCTCACATAGTTCATTACTTTATTTACATTAAAATCAAACTAACACAAATTACTACTATAGATATCATAATAGTGTTGAGAGAAGGTACATACAGACATCATTTTTAATGTTCTCGCCTGATTTTATTGAGACACTTTCTATAGAGATGTATGCAATTTTAACTCAAACAAGGGCCACTATATTGGGGTAATTGGTTCTAAAAGAAGGTCTGAAGTGATTTGGCATTAAACTAAAGTATGTCCGAGAACTGGTTTCCATTAAGATTACTCAAAATTTTACCAATATAATCGGCATAGAGTGCGCTAAAATAACGAAAATCGTTTTATGTAGTATAAGGGAGCTGGGGTAATTCGTGAACCAGTTTCAACTATTTACGCCACGCGCGATTGTGCGCGAGATGTGGTTGAGTAGTTGTTGAGATATGGTATTTTACTTGTAAGGAGCGATTCCACGCGCAATGTCCAATTTTGACACCGGCTCCTATGAGGCCCTTTTGTGTCATGTTGGATGTGTGAATTTTAATGCTTCTAACGTATTTACTTATAGTTAGTGAGTCAGTATAGCTTTATTGGTTCATTTGCTGAACTTTATAGCAAACGTAACAACACAAATTATGCAACCTGTTCAGAAAGGCCATGAGAGACAGTTAAGACAGAAAACTTCGTGGAATTTCCAAAAGACGAACGCGTTCGACTTTAAAAAGAAACTCCGGCTCTATTCAAGCGAAGAAAAAATGAGTTTCTTCACAAATTCATGATAATGTATGAAACATATGTAGATATACCTATAGTTACACATCTGAGTTCAATTGGCAGTCCGCTGTCTAAAGCGTTCGAAAACACAACGGTCAGTATTCTTATATTATCCACATGGGAAAATAATTAGATCAGATTGCTAGGCTTATCAGCCCATGTAAGAGGCTAGTTAACTTCACCAAAAAATTGTTTTGGCATTATCATTATAAAATAAAACTTTTTTTTTTATAATCGAGAAATCATTTCCACAGACATATGTATTAAATTCCAAGTCATTTTGACTTTTTTTTAGATAAGAATGCTATTATAACATCACTTTGTAGATATATGAAAACTTTGTGTTTGGTTTTGCCTGCACTTAACTCTTCTACACTTTTTTATTATTATCCAATCATTTAAACTTGAAAATCAAGTTACGAAAAGTTCAAAAAACGGTTAAATCCATTGAGTTTGCGACGATTAAGTAAGATATATTCCAATTTTGCCTCTTCCTTCATTCATTTATAAGGTATGAATCTATATATATAAAAATTAAACCCGTTTCCCGTTGTCACGCCATAACTTGAGAACGGCTAGACCGATTTGGCTGGTTTTTTTTGCAGTATTCTAATACTCTGTAGAAGGTTCTTACGGAAAAAAGTATTAAGAAAATGTCTCAGAAAGATTGAAAAAATACATGTAATTTTGCATATTTAAAAAAACGCGCGTAACGAATGTCATCGTCATTCACAGCCATAGACTATATTGAATGTGTATCGTTTGTTCGGAAATGTGGTTACTTAATTAAATTTTCATTCATTTTTATATGGAGGGTATTATAGATTCCAGGTTAAATTGAATAGGTACTCATACCTAAGATAGGACAACTGTCAGCTATACAAAATAAAGTAGTTCGTCGGGTCAACTAGTTTAAAATAAAACTGTAATGCCAACAACGTGCTACTACATATTTATATACGAGTACATATTATATGTACCATATATCAAAGCTACGCGATTTTTCTGCCATTATTATTTTTATTGATTTGTGTTTGGGGTCAAGGCGTGCACGCAAATTCATTGTTTACTATATTTTACACGTGACATTTTCGTATTCAATACACATAATACATGAAATCACGTTGTCATATACATATAGGCGTGCATTAGCATGGACAAAAATTTAAGGAAAAAACGTTTACACAACTCAATAGAACACATCCTGAAAGTTTTGTTCTCGTTTAGCCTTCGCTTTCCTTTATTGATTTTTTCACAGAGACCAAACATTCACTTTTTCTATCCGAACTATTGTATAATTTCTCACCTTCAAACATGACTTCTTCGTTATTTTCAGTAACTGTGCCATACTTGGATCTCCGTATTATATTCGACAGTCATGAACATTCCAGCAGACCCCTGTCATACATACTTCCTGGTATTCATATGCTCTCGTATTCTAATCAAATCTCGATTCTGTTGCACTTTGTTAAACCGCAGGGTCTAAGTGTATCAGACTAAGAAAGCGTTAGGCGCCGACAAAGATCCATGAATGTCAAGAAAAATGTGAAAATATTCCGAAATTCCAATCAATTAAACGGGCAGCAGGGCGACCGCAATGTCCGAGCAAATATTTACTAATGCTGCCGCCTGTAAACGAATGGTTCCCCTGAGGCCATTGCGTACTCGTATGTCTTCGGCGACATTTTGGCACGCATAAACACATGGATGGACTGTGGGTGAGAAAAGCTGTTCAAAAGGGACTGCAATGACACAATGTGGTCACTGTGCTTCATTGACAGACTCACATGGCATACATATACCATACATATATATTTATATAATTTGGTTGCAGCGCAGGCGCAAAAAGGTACACATCATAATAACGTCATGAAGAAGAAACTGCTATGCCACAGCGGAAATACTCGAGTATGAAAAAATTGTATGTTTCCTAACTTCGTAGGTTCAATAAATTATTTTTAGAAGTTCTGGCAAAATGTTATTTATTTATGTAATGCGTGAATATAAATACAAATGTATATACATTTGAATAAACATAAAATATTTATAATACGGAGTTTTATTCTGTTTTGCTCCTTTGTACGTTTAACGAAGTTATCTTCACTTTAATCAAAAATACGAATATTTGCGAATTCGATAGCCAAAGGGTGAAATGTGGTCTACGCAAAAATGTATTTGTAAAAGGTAGCGTATTTTCTGATATTTCTAAAATTTCATTTAAAAATTTAATTGTATTCAATTTTTGGTAATAAACTCTAAAATCCTCTTGGAGTAATACATTATTTTTGAAAAATGTGGCGGTTTGCGAGCTGTTTTACACATTCTTTCGTACGCAAATACTAGGGTTATATGAATTTTAATAATCTTATCTTCCCATATGGCGCATTCCTCAGGTGTTATCGCCTTTAATGGTTTGACAATTTTCCATCCATATTGTACCTCTGAAACTATCCTACAAGCAGAGAGTCATAAAAATTTACCATCTGCTATGGTTTAAAAATAAAAATAACAAGTAAGGAAGACTAAGTTGGATGTAAACGAATATTTTATAATTTCACAATGTTGCGTCGAAGAAGCCGAATGGATTACAATGAAAGTTCGTAGACCGATTTCACACATTTTGGGCATTAATTATATTGCAACGGATTTCTCAATAAATCGTCTACCTTGAAATTCAATCTTGATTTCGATCACTGGATTGTTATATAAAAATCCTAATTTAATAAATACACTTATCTTTATTTTTAATTTTAACTTATAATATAATAATAACTTAACGCTTTATTACTCACTACCCAAGCTTACGGATACAGTACTTCTTACTTATATTTCATTTGCTTTTTACGCGGTAGCACTCTAACTAGAACTGAGTTTGCTGCACAATCCGGAAGCCCTTATATAGTAGATCGTTAACAAAACTTCACCACTCGAACATTCTGGCAACTACGAATTTCGCTGTCTAGTTGATTCTGAATATTAATCCACTTTAACCTTAAATTTATCGTGCTCTTCCGACAGCGAGACCCTTGTACTGACACAACGTTGCTTCCTGATATTCCGACTGTGAGGACACTTGTGGTGATATACGCACCTCCAGCTCTTTCGACGCTGCTTCGAACGCTGCTGACAACTGTGCTCACACACGCTCTTCATGCGCTTCCAATTGTGAGGACACTCCTCAAACGCTTACAACGCTTTTTTTCTTGGCCATGGCCTCTCGCAACCATGATTGTAATTCGGCTTTTATTCCATTTGTTGCCAACCACGTTTTTCCAACTCCTTTTTCTTTGACTGAATATAAAGCTGTCATATATGAATATATGGGAAGTAGATTGGGGGGATTGTGTTATATGGTAGTGTTCCAATTTCGCCTATTTTCACAACGTAACATAGAAAGTTAAAATAATATTATGCACACAATTTGGTGGAAATTGGTCAAGTAGTTGGTGGGATATAGGTTTTCAATTAAAGTGGGTGGTTCCCATTGACGAAAAGATTTGTCCTGACAAAATTTGGTTGATATATAACCTATCAGGAGACCGGGTCACTCCCGCTTTTTAAAAATTCTGCAACTATAGGTGCTCCTCCTAACTACGATTCGCTGTGCCGCATTACAGGTTTGTATCTTAAATTGGGACTTGGCGATGGCGTTTTATAAATTTACAATTAATGGTATTTTGTGGACGTGGCAGTGGTCCTATTCCGCCCATCTACTAATAGGACCGAGAATTGCATCCCCTTCAGCGTCCAAGTATTAACTCCTACTCGGCGATCAGCCAGTAACCCCAACCTAATATAATCTAAATAGGTATTAGGTAGGTAGGTAGAGTGGCTGTCTAACGACGCACCTAGGCCTATAGGAGGCCCATTCTGATACCACCGGGACTGATAGAGTGTTCCCTCACTCTATCGTCTCCTCTCTGAACCAATCTGTGCTCCTGATGAAGCTCATCAGTGCAAATAATTTTATATTAGCAACTTCTGATACGTCAAGGAAACCACGACAGATAGTTGCGATTCTTTTCCTGTATAGAGCGTTACATTCGCATAGATGATGTTTTACAGTCTCCTCTTCTTCTACTTCTAAGTAGGTATTACTTAAAACGTATTTTTTGTCGACCTTTTATTTGCAAGACAGATTTTGAAAATCATCATGGGAACAAAAAATTCTCGCATACGCTTTAATTTGACAACCAAACCGTATTTGATAAAATTGTTGTTTTTAGTGCGCAAAGTGCCCAGCTAAGAAAAAGTGGGAGTAGCACAATCTTATGCGGGTTATCTAACAAACAGCGCTAAATATTCTCAGATCACAATATATATCGATTAATCTTATCATTGTAAATGGAAAAACTCTAAATAGACATATATTCGCATTGTGAATTATAGAAAATTTAGAGAAACAGAAAAAATCAAATACATTTTCTTGAAAATTAAAAATTCTTTCTGAAGATCGATTACATAATAAATAAGTATTTAATCAATATTCACGTCCAATTAAGGTTACTTAGTAAGGCTAAAATATCGATTAAGATAATTTTTAGCTTGATTGTGACAGCTATATGCTATAGTGGTTCGATATAAGCAATATATTCGGAGATTGTAGCGTTGCTTTGGATAATATTCTAGCCATATTTCGGTAAAATAATTTGTCACATAAAAAGTTTTCCATATAAGGACTTGATTTGATCGATTAGTTTGACTTTAAGATTCGATATCTCAAAACTGAGAGACTAGTTCGCGTATATACAGACGTTCGTGGCAAACTTAATATACTCTCTTGAAATCATAAGTGTTAAAGGAAATGCAATTAACTTTGTTAGAATTCAAGACGATACCTATACATTTCCTATTGGAAACGCATTCGTTATTAAAAACATATACATAGGCATATATACGTCTTCATTGTGGAAAAGATGTAAGTGATAAGAATGGGTGTTTCTAATATTGAATTTCTAGTTTTAATCAGTTCGCGTTCATATTTTACGTTGTTGAGACTTGATGCAACAATCATGTACAAATTCGGGGAAATAAACTCATACGAGGGAGTTTTAGACCTTAAAGGAGTCGTTAAAGATGTTGATGTTGAAGAGATGGAGGAGGCTTTGAATATCTGCGATCTTTCTACTCTCGCCCAAAAGTATAAAACCTGGACCAAACATATGCCGCGTGTCAAACCTTACTATGGTGAGCTCAGGAATTTTGATGTAATAGATATGTACAAGTATATAAGTTTATGTACAACTGGCATATAATATATACTAGAATACGAAGAATGTTCAACAAATAACATTATTATTGGTTAAGTAGAGAGAGTGTGATTTTAGTGCAAGACAGTGAATATTTTCTAGGTTAAAAGACCTCAATTTCGTGCACAAAATTCATACATATCTACAAGGTGCGTTCCAAAGTAACAGGACTTTTAAAAAAAATACAGAACAAATGGTTTTATCGGCAAAATCAATTAATTTTATTCAAAATAGTCTCCTTCTGCTTTAATACAGCTTTTTGCACGGTCCAAAAGCATGTCGAACGAGTGTTTTAGCTCGTTGCCCGGTATGGCCGCCAGTATGCCGGTGCAAGCCTTTTGAATGGCCTCCACGTCTGCATAACACTTTCCTTTCATCGGCAAATGCATTTTTCCGAAAGGTAGAAGTCGCACGGTTCCATATCAGGTGAATATGGGGAGTGGTTGATTGTTAAAATGTGATTTTTGGTCAAATAATCGGCCACAAGCGTCGATCGATGAGACGGCGCATTATCGTGCAACAAACGCCAACTTCCATCTTCGCGATATTCGGGCCGAACACGTCGAATACGGCGCACCAAATGCTTCAAAACTCCAAGGTAGAATACCGCATTAACGTGACGATACCCTTGGAATCATAAAAACAAATCAGCATTGTCTTCACTTTTGACTTCTCCAGGCGCGATTTTTTGCGTTTCTGCTCATTTCTCATTTATGTCCTCACGACCACTTTGAAAACGTTGAAACCACTCGTGCACTCTGCTACGGGATAGGCAATCATCGCCATAAACTTGTTTCAACAATTGAAACGTTTTGGTCAAAGTTTTACCAATTTTAAAACAAAATATAATGTTGGATCTTTGTTCGAAGCTCATTTTCGCACCGATGACTAAAACATACTGACACTTAAAGCGCAATAGCTTCACTTCCAATAGATGAAGTGTCATGAAATTTTTACTGGAAGTCGATAAAGGATAGCAGGTTCTAACGCACTAGTCGACATATAGATGACGCCACTAGAGTTTACTTTTTTACTGTTTTCTTTGGAACGCACCTTATATGTATGAAAAAAATAAACTCTATAATATTGAAATTTTAAGTGTTTTGATGACATTTTTTTAATGCAAAGAATCCTAAAGTTTTGCAAATATGTATGGTAAAATATAGCTAGGATAGAAAATTGGCTATCTTCCACATTTGCCTCATATAAACCGGCTTGGTTTACTAATTATTTCTTATTTCTTCCACTATTTCATCTATTTTGACAAAAGGTCCAATGTCTTCGCTCTTACTTAAATCTGGCCAAATTTTCTACCATAATCCTTTCAAAGATCTTTCGGTTATCTCGTTCCAAGATAGGATTATGTTTTCTACAGCATCATGATATTGTAGTCTTTCCGAAATTCTCTTATTGATTGCTTCCCTTTTCCGTGTATTCTTTCAAATATTTTGTTCCATTGATTGGATTAATGTATGTATGTAAGTGTGTGTGTATTCGGATGCACAATTTTGGGGAGTCTCCAGGTTGAAATAAAAGAGCGCTTAACCAAAACAGCGTTTAGCGGGATCTTACTGTACCTATAGCCATTTTACCGTGCCTTGTTCTTGATAACTTCAGTATCTGAAAGTTCTTAGTCTTCAAACCATTTTTTCTGGATTCTCCATTGGTTACTTGTGAAAAAAACTTTAACGTCATTTCGATGAAAATCTTTTCAACTAGACCTAAGTTTCTTAAACAACTTCTGTTTTTTTAATCTGAAATTTCTGCACTCATCAAATGATTCCAAACTATGATAAGTACGTTAAAACAAAAGATACAAAATACCGTCTAAAGTTGCTTATTTCTTTATTTGAAAATGTCACGAGCCAAGATCACTTCTTCATTTTTTGTTTTGCAGCTGTTAAGTGCAATGACGATGCATTCATTGTGAAGGAGCTAGCTGATTTGGGTACTGGGTTTGACTGCGCTTCTAAAAATGAAATAAATCTCGTAAGTAAATGGCTATAAGATTAATCAAATAAATGTATTAAAAAGATTTGACATAGGCTCTGGAAGCTGGTGCCAAATCAGAAGACATCATATTTGCCAATCCTTGCAAGCCACCGAGTCATCTCCAGTATGCTAAAGAGAAAAAAATTATGGCAAGCACTGTGGACACTGAATTCGAGATCTATAAAATCTTTGAGCACTATCCTGAATCAAAGTAAGGCAATAAGTCTGATGTTCACTTATGGGGGTCATCCCCTTTTGTTTTTAGGGATTTTTTATGATTTTGTTAAATAATATTGTGTAGGTCATAATTTTCTGCGTTCTGAACACCCCCGTCTCGAAAAAAATGTGCTCTCACTTTCTCCACAATTCCGGCTGATTGGCTTATCTGAAACAAAAAAAATTATTGGCGTTTTAATCTGTAAGCCTAAATGCAGGAATTGGACTTTTGGTAGACTTTTGAAAATAAAGTTGCGAATTTTGCGTTTTTTTTTTGTTTACTGATAATAGTTCATTCTATGCGTTTACTTGTGTGTACCCTACAAAATTCAAGTCATTCGGTCAAACCGTTTTTGAGATACGAAGGAGGAAAGTTTGAAAAATACAGTTTTGAAAAAAACGCGTTTAAAGTTTCAAGCCCGCTTAAAACAGTTCCCCACAGCTCCTTCTTCTAACTGCGGTATTTTTTAAACGATTAAAACGATTTTTAAAAGATCACTTTACTACCGTATTCTAGGCATGTGACGAAAGCAATTTATAAAAAAAAAAAATCGTAAGGCCAAAGTTATTTGAATTCGCAAACTATATGTACGTACAATTTTTAAAAATCCTAAAACTACATATCCTCTTTCATCGTTTACTATTTAGTTTTCTAGTTTCTTTGTTGGTCATATAATGCTCTATAGATATGCACACAGATAGGTGAGAGACTACCATTTTAAAGCTTATAGCTTCCAATCTCAGCCGAGGTAAACTTTTAAGTTATTAGAAAAATGTTTTTTCCCATAACTAATAGGCAATCTTCGAGAGAATTTTTAAAATAAAAAAAAATTCAAATAAAATACATGAGGCGTTTAAAATTGGCTTAGAATTTGTAGAATTTTCTATTTGAAGCACAACGTCAATGATTTTAATAAATATACGCTCTGTTATATTTACACAATGAGCAACATACATACATATACATGTACGCACTTTCGGTTTTAGCATCGAATAGCTTGGATAATGTGGTATCAACGAGGCTTATTGTTAAAAAGAATCGGTGATTCAACAGATCAAGTGTGATCCTCGAGATCTAATCTATCTAATCTTACTTCAATCTGGAACATTTTTATTTATTATTTTCTTAAATAGGTTGAGTATGGGTAACTTTTAAAAAAAATTATGTTGTTTACGCTTCAAATGAATGATATATACTGCAAAATTCGCAGAAGGACAATAGCTTTCCAAGGCATGTTCGGAATATTTGAACAGTGGAATAAAGTTATAAAACCTTTAAAATTAAAATATTCCAGATTCTATGTAATTGCGTGTAAACAACACAAATACATTTGTGTAGGTTTCAATTTTGGTTATGCTCTTTGAAGGTTTTTAACTTAACTCTTGGAAAGTATCACTTTGGAACTCAAATAATAAATTATTCGCAAATTCTAATTTAAATAAGAATATGCTTCCTTCATAATTTTACAAAATCTCATTTTTGTTTTAATGAAAGTTAATATATATTGCGTACTGTCTAACAATAAAAATAAATACTTACAAAAAATTTATATAAACTTTTTTATATATTTTTTTAAGTTTGGTGATACGTTTTCGTTGTGAGGCCAAAGTAGCACAATGTCCACTGGGTGATAAATTCGGGTGTAATGCAGAAGAAGATGCTGCGGCTTTGATGCTCCTTGCAAAAAGTTTGGGGCTTTCCGTGAGTATCAAATTAAAACTAAATTATAATCCATATAAGTAATATCGCATCCACCAGGTGATAGGAACCAGTTTTCACGTTGGCTCCGGCTGCAGTGACTATCCAGCATATAACCGAGCCATTTCTACAGCAAAGAATTTGTTCAAATTCGGAGAACTGCTTGGTTTCGATATGAAATTGTTGGACATTGGCGGTGGATTCCCAGGAGCTGACGATAATAAATTTGCTACCGTGAGTACCTTTAATATTCAAATTTAGATACATTTAAATAATACTGCCAAGAACCTTGGGTGTCGCGACTAAGAATTCTGTAGGACTGACGATGAAACAGTTTTTTCTTTGATTCGCTTCGATAATAAACAGTTCTTTTTTCTTTCCAAGATTGCGAAAATTGTCAACATGTCTTTGAATAAATTTTTTCCGGACGAAAAGGTTGGAATAATTGCCGAGCCTGGTCGCTTTTTCGTAGCTTCAGCTTACACCTTGGTTTGTAAAATCCACGCCAAGCGAGAAGTGCGATCCGGTAAGAAGGTGGATGTGAAAATGTACTACATAAATGACGGCGTATACGGATCGTTCAATTGTGTTTTGTATGACCATCAGAAAGTCACTGTGGAGCACTTCTTGGTATGAAAAATCTTCATCGTTATTTCTTAATGGAATGTAAAAATTTAATATATGTACATTAAAATACAATTGTTAGGAGGAAGATAAAAACCTGAAAAAGTATAAGACTTTAATATGGGGTCCCACCTGTGATGCATTAGATAAGGTGTGTAACGATCATAAGTTTAAAACGTTTCGAACCAAATGTAAATCAATTAACATTCTTATTTTTATTCTTAAAATTACAAAGATCATCGAGAATGCATACTTGCCAAATCTATCGTGTGGAGATTTGATTGCTTTTCCAAATATGGGCGCATATACGGTGCCGATCGCCAGCCCCTTTAATGGATTCATGGTGCCGAAGACATTATATTTTAAAGCAATTTGAGTTTACAACTAAAATATCTATATTTTTATGAAAACAATGGCTTAATGTTTTACCGGGGCTCATATTTTAATTCTGTATAAATGTGAAATAAATGTCACTGATTTAATTTTTGAGAGTAACTTCTTATCTGTTAAACCCTTTTTTTGCTCCCTTTTAAATGACTCTTACAATACAAATATTTGGAGAAATTAAAATTTCAAGTTCAAACTAGCGAGAACTTTTGAAAATGTATCACGTTGTTAACTGATAATCTGAACTAATCATAGGCATATCCTCAAAGTAAACATTCGTGCCGAAATTGTCACTATAAAGATCCGAATTAAATGGACATCTCAACTAAAAATGTTGCTTTAAACATACCGTCATAAAATAGGGTAATGTATAAAAATGAAAATACAGAAAGTCTTCATGTAAAGTTTAAACCCGTTGGATTTTATCGCCAATATGTTATTTTTTTATTTGTATTATAGTTTTTTTTTTTATTTGTGGCCTAAGATTGTTACTGTGATGTAAATATTATATGTATGTAATACAGATTGGTATTATATTTAAAAAAATATACCAAATATCGGTCAAGGTACACACAGAACGAGTAAACAAGAGAGTCGTCTCTTTAGTGAATTCAACGAATAATTAATTACAGTGGTCGTCCAATATATACGTAACGATTCTTATGTTGTCCACCTATTTCTTAAAATTCGAAAAATTCTCTAAATAAAATTATATTTTTACCTATAATAAAATCATCTTTTCAAATAAATAATAAAATACATTAAGTTTCACATATACCATATATAACAATAATATAACATATACCATATAATTTAATTCAACGACAATCAAATTTTAAAACTTTGTTTTTTACAAAAAAATTTTCAATTCACGTCGGTTTTTAACAATTTTTAAGTCTTTTTTATTTCGATTTCTTGCAAATCCTTTAGTTCAACATATGAATATTGCCCAAGTGTCTCATTTCTTTAACAAATTTATTGCTTCTTCGTGTTTAACTTCATTTGCCGTATCGTCTGATTGAGTAGTGGAATGTACATGTTGTTGTTGTAGCGGCAGAATTTTGCCGAGTGGAAACGATGAGAATGTACATCATATGTATTGTCGTTTGCATTGGAATCTGTAAAACCATAATCAAAATTCCACTCATGAATATTCGCGAATCCAACTCAACACTGAAAAACTAATATAACTAATACTGAAAACTGTTGCTGCCAGTGTCGCTGTTGATTCAAGCTGTTTTCGTCATCGAATTCTACTAATTGAAAATATTTCTCCAATATCTTAGGATAGATACATTAACGAATATATTAATAAGTTTCAACGATTCTGAGATATTATACGTTCCAGTAGCAATAATTTTACACAAAATCCAATTTCTGTAACGAAGTTTAACAAGCTTAATGGCGTTTTGATTTATCGGTTGAATCAATGGCCTTATGTAATATTAGGTGGCATAAAAATTGTCTAAATCAGTACGTCATTGGTAGCCTTAACAGGCTCATTTTCGGGTGGGTGACTTGGAACATTATCCAAGATAAGCAGCGCTTCCTTTCGAAGGGTCTATTCTGTTCATCAAAAAATTCAATAACTTTTCAAACACGAGTTCATAAAAATTATTACTAGATTTCGTTCTTTATAATTTTTAAAGAATTCATTCAAGTAGACTTTGAGTTCATATAGGTTACGGGTAGCAATTTGTTTCTAAAAGGTCTCGGGTTCAGAGATTTTCCAATTACTAAAAGTGGTAATTTCTTGTTTTCTGAAGCATTGGTCCACGGTATAAATGTTAACCCGTCTTTGGTGTTCTTTCATCCTGGTGCGGTTTCTTCTTCGGGAAGAAAAAATACTGCTTTGAGAATTGCTTCATATTACGTACTCTAACTTGTTTATAAATGGCTTCACACTATCTACGTTAGATGACAGCTTTTCATCTCATTCTTTAAAAGCGTATGTATTTCGAATGGTTTTTTGAATTTAGTCATTCAACCATCACTAGCAAAAATATTCTTCGTACACCGCAGAATTAAATTTCGTCGCCATTGTCTTTAAAACGGCACCACTAACAGGGATACGGTTTCGACGTTGAGTTATAAACCATTCGTAGAGAGCTTGCTCCATTGTAGGAAATTCACTTTGTAGGAACTCACGTACTGATTTTTGAACGTATTCTTCGACTTTAAATTTCTTGTATTTGAAACTCCATATTTCGCGGATATGGCCATTACTGGAAGCCAATTGATGGAATCGTGCAAAATCTTTAGTTTATTTTCCAAAGATGAACCCTTTACATTTGACATTGGTCTTTCTAAACCAAATGAAATAGAACCAACCGCCCGATAAAAGTATTTTGAACTGACTGAATAACTTTAAATTCAAAATCAATGGAAACTTGAAAATTGTAAATTATATTTTCTGCAGATGTTGTTCAACAGTTCAACTGCCGTTGATTTGACGAAACCTTTGTTTTTGCAAAGAACGTGAAGTTCAAGATAAAAATATAGCAGCGTTCGCAATATCGATTAATAAAAATTCTTTGCCTTCGTAATATTGAAATATCAGTAAGATAATTTCAAAAGTTAGTTATACTGGAAGGCCACTGTAATTGTGTTTCGATGAGTTGAGAGCTCGACATAAATACCAATTTTTATAGAATAATCAGCAACATTTTTATCTGCTTTGGAAGCACATAAGGAAAGAAGGCAGTAATAAATAAGTATAAGTGCTAACCGAAAATAACTGCAAAACTTTCATAATAATTGTACATAAAGCCTTCCCCACCTTTCATTCATAACGTCACTACAAAAAAAAATACTTATAAATCGACAATTCGTCTCGTCTTTCTGAGCATTTTTGATTTTATATATTTCAGGGAAGTTTAGGTGTTACGAATAACCGTTATATGAACAAAACTCTTGGGCATAAAAACAATTCTACCTTTATAGCTTTATGAAGAACTTATTAAAATTTTCTCTTATATATTACAGTGACCGATTAAAACACTCACAATTGTTGTCAAGACTAAACCGGCTGTTCTTTATTGTTCTTTAACGTAATACAGGTATATTTTTAGTAACGTTATCATTCAAAAAATGTCTTAAGAATATGCTTATCACATTATCAAACTAAGAGCTGCCAAATCTGACCCTATTTGATGAAGCTGCTCATTAGTTTACTAGCATGTAGCATATACATTAAACACATTATTATAATTACAAAAAATAAATAATAATTTAAATAAGTTTTAAATTAAAGATCTTAATTTTTCGAATATATAAAATGAATTTCGATAATTAGTGAATACACTTGTATATTGGATGTCTAACAAGATAATCTGAGTACAAAATACTTTACAACATTTTTCATATATGTATCTTATTTAAATGAAATTTCAAAAGTTTTCAATGTGTCTCAATTCCTACACTTGTATATTTGAGTGTATAATAAAATTCTGTTTCTGAGTACATACATACAACCTTTGATTATTGACCCAACTGTTTTGAAAATATTTTCATACTTTCGTTTCTCAAAGATTATATGCCATTACTCATTACATTGAATATATTTTACAGCGTTACTCGTAAAAAATTTAAATACTAAAAATGTTTTGCCTTATATTTTAATTGTATTGTACATACAAGTATGCGTTTGTATTTACCTACATATGTATGTGTTCATACACATAAATAGATTCTCAAGCAATCAACAATTTTGTTTGCATTTTAGACGAAAATAAATCCATCTGGTAAGTGTTTATAAAAACGTATTAATCTTTTAATCTCGGCTTTACAATTGCATAGCACATGCTGATATGTATGTATGTATTATAACTTGATTATTTTTTAACGAATAGTTAATGAAGCTTTGGGACAATAAAAATCGCTATTACGTATTGGTTCTTCAGAACATTTTTAAGACATTTCGAAAACAACATTTTCAAATATAAATAACTCAATAAATAGTTATTACATATGATGTACCTATGTCCAGGTTGTGAATGAGTACAATTTACATACTATTATGAATTATATAACAAAAAATTAATATTTAATTAATAAAATTTAAATAAAGCCTTTTTAAACTACTACTATTACTATTCTCTTCAGTTAAAGCCAATTAGATACCATAATGCATAATAATTTAAAACTAAAGCGAATATTTTAAGTAAATTTAACAAACGAAATTTGAGATTATCCGGAACACGTTTCACCAAATGCATTTTTCCGATTATCAAATGCATATGTATGTATGTAGCTCGATAATTTTCCAACTCTCATGCCCATGTTATGAGCACAAACTACTTATTCCGTAATCAGTTCTTGTAACATGTTGGTGCACTTACATAAATTTAACACGCATAAAACTTTTTAATTTTAGAAACATTCTTATTTTTTAATGTGATAAACGTTAATACACATTTAGCTATGTTTTGTAAGAAGCATAGAAATTGAAGTGAACTGTCTTAATTTAGTTTTTTAAATTTATAGTTTTCATTTGTTAAATATACACAAACATAAAAATGATTGTATCTCACAACGACGACATTGATTTTGCATTAGTAGCTTCCCTTTGATATTAGATCGTTTTATAGTATGTTAAATATAAATATGTATGTATGTATATGAAGTCAAAATTATAATATATCGCTTCAGCAAATACCTTTTAGTAAACATTAGAATAGGAATATTAGGCGCAAACATATATATATATTTAGTTGCAATAAATAGAGTTCATGTAGCTCCTAAGTTTCAATTGTTCTCCCTTTTAGGTAACTTTCGGCAAAAAAATGTGTCAAAAAGTAACCGTTAGTGTATAACTAATGCATTTTTCTTACAGGCTATCGTAAACTTTTCACAAAACCTTAGTACTTATTTGATATGTATGCGTGTATGAGCCTAATGGCATCCATATATATGATATGTATGCATATACAATTTGCAACAATGTACCCAAATTCTTCTCAGCAATTATGTCTGTGCGCATATCTATGACACTCTTCAACAGTTTCACTGTTGCGGCGTGGTACCAATATATCTATATGTATGAATGTATTTCGTCCCAGCGTATAATAGAGAACACGCTTCTAGTGCAATCATTTGCAGTGATTTTTGAAATTCCAGTAAAATTGCTCCTAATTGTGGCGCCTTAGCGTGGCAGCTTAAAACCTACTCACTGCAGCTAATATGCTTAGGGCAACGTTGGTTAGAACGTTAGCATACAGCACAGCACTGTTGAGTACGGTGGGGGCAGAGTTTTTACCACCACAGTGCATTTTCTCCAATGGCATTGTTTGTACATAGTATTGTCGATTTTCTATGGGCATAAGACAAGTGGGCTTCTTCTTCTGTGCCATTTCGTCATCTCTGTTCTTCAGATCTTGCAAAAGCTTCGGGAACCAGGTAAGTTCACACGAGCAAATCAACGGATTATCTATGCACGGTTTGGAGTGATTAATATTATAAATAGCAGCATTTTAGGCACTTTAAGTGAGTTTACCTGTGATGTCAATTATGCGTAGCGTGTCGGTGATTGGCTCCATGATATCTTGAGGTATCCGCGACAGCTTGTTATTTTGGATGTTGAGAGTTTCGAGTGAGTTGAGATTTTCAAAAATCATACTCGGTAAAACCTTCAGGCTAAAAATACAATGTACCATCATAAATAAACTTTCGTTAGCAAATATATGTAGTTGGTAGGGTAACATACTCATTCTTTTGGAAATTGAGGAAAGTCAGTGAGTCTCCATAGCCAGCGAAAGCGTCTTCTTGTATAAAACTTATGTTGTTATTTCTTAAATCTAGGTGACGCAGCCGATGCAGTGGACGCAAAGCTTCGCTGGGTATAGATTGAATATTGTTGTCACCCAAACGGAGATATTGAAGATTTTCTAAAATATTTGTTATTTTACGAGTAGGTATTATGAACTAAAAGTACTTTATACATAAATAATAAAATTACGTCTACCTTCCAATCCCTTGAAAGCGTCCTTGTCTATGATTTCTATTTTATTCCCCTCCAATTCCAATGAATTTAAAATACTTAGATGGGAAAACACATTGGCTGGTACAGTGGTGATCATGTTGTGCGCCAAAATCAAAGAGTCCAAACTCTCCATTCCTTAAATTGTGTTATTTAATATATCAAACATTTTAAAAATTCCAAAACCGTTTTCCTGATATAATACGACACCTGCAAAATCGCCTTCACGAATGCTGCCGATTTTATTCTCTTGAATTTCCAATTTCTTCAGAGTGTCAAGTATGGAGAGAGCCTGCTGTGGTACCGCAGTGAGATCATTACCTCCAAGGTTTAATCGTTTCAGTTTTCTAAATTAAATAAAAATTTATAAGTGCCAGAATTTATTTCATTATGAATGTATGTAGTAGAGTTGAGCCTTTCATGTGAAAGTTTGTAGTTTGTCAGATCATCGAAATGTAAAGTATTTAATTAAAAAAAAAATTATTTTTAATTTTATTTTCTTAATCCGATTTTAGACAAAAAAACTGCTGAAAAAACTGTAATTATATTAGTTTCAGTTATAGTCATTTAAATTTTTTAAAATAGAGAAGTATGTTTAATGATAATAATGTTTTGTTATAAATAAGACAAAGCAGGTTTTCTAGCAAACAATCCTTTAATTCTAAATATTGTAATATTATTTATAGTTTTATTGAATAGAATCGGCCTGTTTCTGATACAATATTGTGTTTTCTTACTAAGAGTCATCGAATCTGTTTGCCATGTTTTGAGGAGATTAGTAATAGTTCTTCAGAAACTGGGTGGTGTATAATCCCGAAAATATATGTATACATACATATAACTTGCTTTTATTAAAACAGGTTCCTGTATACTTAATTCTGTTTTTGTGATAATATCCCAATTGATCTCCTGGCATACGAAAGAAAAAAGTTGTGGGAGTTAAAGAAAACATCTGAGAATAATAAGAGGGCAATCGAACAAATAAAGAAAGATACGATGTCAGCATGGCAACGAAGATGGGAGAATCAGAGTCGCGGCAGATGGACGGCCAGACTCATAAAAGATGTAAACTTATGGACAAGCCGAAGATCTGGGGAAGTCGACTTCTACACGACACTTCAAAAAATATCTCCACAGAATGCGAAAGGTCGAAGAGCCGTCATGCCCATACAACGATGGCAACGGGAACGCACCGCCGTAGAAGGCCGGGTTGGTCCAATAAACACGCACAATTTAATCAACGTCATGATGGAGAGCGAAGCAAACTGGGGCAACATCCAGAAATTCGCTGCAAATTTGCTATGCAGCAAAAAGCGGGACCTGGACGAAGGTGCGCAAATGTAAATCTCTCAATGAGAAAAATTGAACGCCACCCTGAAGTAATGCAAACGCGGTTCCAGGGTGGGCGACGGTTCCCTAGAAGTGGTGTTTTTAGTGACCTGCAAGCGGCACATACCGTAGCTGCGACGACAGCAGGGTTGATGCGGAAGGAATTTTTCACCCTCTCACCCGCAAGAAAAAAAATCCGTTTTTGTAACTCTTTTACATATTATATATAATAATTCCAAACCTTATGTGTCCGGCTGGTGATAATTCTGAACTAATATGAAACGTATGACATTTTAAGATGAGAGGAATAAGTATTGTAACGTATAAAATAGAATTTGAATATATAATAAAATCATCCTTATCTGAATTACAGGTTTGATCACAATTTTATTGAACCGAAAATTTCAGTTTTATAACCAAACTTTATTTAGAATTGTGTTTAATGACATGAATCACTGAAGACACTTACTTTTCAAGTCCTCTGAAAGCTTCGGGTTCTATGGTGACTATTTTGTTCTCGTAAAGTGTAAGTATTTCCAAAGTATCCAAGCCTTCGAATGCATTATTATAAATTACACTAATTTTGTTGTGATTCAAATTCAGAATTAACAAATGGTAAAGATGCTTTAAGGCTGCAGATGGTACTGTCTTCATTTGATTCTGCGAAATGTCCAACTGTGTCAGTCCGTTACCTGTAAGAAATATTTCCACATTATCCGAGTGGATTGTGATGTCATTCAAAACGCCCGCACTTACCCAATGAGCTGAGCGCATTCTCCTCTATGGCTGCCAAACTGCTGTTGTGAATTGTCAAATGGCGGATATCAAGCGCCAGAAAGACAAATCCTTGTAGTTTTGGTAGGTTATTGTGACGTAATTTCAAATAGAAAATGATGGGACTCTGCCCTTTCAAGGTGCCCATTGATTTCGTTATATGTGCCAAATCCGTGGTTTCACACAAAATATCCAAACCGTTCTTCTTCACTGTACAGATACAGGGTGCAATGTCATTCTGCTCGGGACACACCTGTTGCTGTGGTGGATTTTGGGCTTCAATTTGTGATATTCTCAGTGAAAGCGCCCAAAACGCTACCATCACGCCATAGGCGAAAAGGCTATTACTACTGACGCCGAAAACGTTGTCTTTTGTCGCCACCGCCATTTTGCACTGTCACTATTTACTTCTTTACTACTATGTAAGCGACCTTGCACGCACCCACGCTGTTAATCTGATTCACGTTCTAAATCCGTCGTGTCGTGGAAACTGCCTGCCAGTAAATCTATTCACTTCTATTGTATGCCTGCAAGTTGAAGCGGAGGAGATGTGATTAACCAATGATCATATGAATAATACCCCAATCAGTGGCAAAATGAATGTGAAATCGTGCAGACTCAGATGCATACACACAAATCGCACATATAAATATAAATCTACGTATTATGCTAGAATAGAAATGCATGCAAGTACCTACTATAGTACTACAAACACCACACAGCAAAAATCCAAATTGAATGAAGAGATTTACGCGACTGCTAATACGACTAGTTGTGAAATGTTCAAACTTCCAATGAAAATTCAATATTGTTCGGAAGCAGTTTAAAACTAACCGCAATGTACTCGTACTTTGGAGATCTTAAATATATTTTCTGTTTACAAACAAGACCTTCTCTATGCATCTTGCACCAACACTTACTGAAAACCAGTACCACCTTCAAGGTTGCTAGGTATTCATCGTAAGCTCAGATTATAAGGTATCACTACTGGGTGTTTATGTTCATATATTATACTATACTATATACATATGTATATATCATATATGCATGTGTAAATAAAAACGTTCTGAATTCGAAACTACAAGTTCTGTAACTTTGCACAAATTAACCTAAATTAAATTAAATAAACTTACATAACTAGTGACTGAAAAATGCATGCCACTCAATGCTAGGCGAAAATTCCCTTCCAGTATACATAATATACCGGCTATCTACTAAGTGAAATAGAAAATGATCAGGACGAGTTTCTATAGCGTAAAGACATACACACGATACCTACAATCCCTGTAGTACCCCTGTACAAAATTATGCGATGTTACTCTCTATAAAGTGCAGTTGAAAATGAATTGATCTCTAACACATAGCTTTAGAATACAATTAGGTATCAACTTTTTAGATGTTCCAAATAAAATGATGAAACGTGATTAAATTAGTCTATCGTCTGTACCATGGCGTCTAAGCCTTTAAGGGTTAATACGATCTCAGGGAATGTCATTTAGGATCAGGTGTTATTACTAAGTTTTGAAACTTCTTATGATTTTTTTTAATGAAGTAAATTATTGCATTTCAGTTACATAACCACTTTTTCGGATATCTCTAGCTGATTGAAAGCAATGTTATCTTAATATTATATTATAAAATCCTTCTTAAGTAGGAATCTGTAATGTACACATTCGCAAATTATTTAAGAGCAGCCTTCCAAAAGTGAAGTCTAAACAGCGTCAAGTGAAATTTTTGTCATAACAATAGATTTTTCATCCATCAATTTAAATATCCGAAAATATTCATTTGATAATTTTTCAAAAACAAAAGAAATTCTCCTTTAAGCTTTCAAAAATTCAGACATTGGTTATTCGTTAATTTACAAATACAGATGAAGATAAATTAATGATAGTACTTGACATATTAATATAAATTAAACAACAATAAATGACTATGCAATTTTAAGATACTTTTAAAAAAAATAAGCATCATCATAACTTACCCAAATTTTAAATCGTCATCACTTGCAAAAGTACCGACTTTATCAGGCCTTCGGGCACTGTTTCGTTAAAGGCAATGTCATTTATATGCATGCATACGTTTTTAATCCACAACAGTTCGAAGATCTGGGTCATGAATATCGGGTTTATTTGTTTATATCAAGACACGTCCACGTCCCTTACGCCTATTACTGGCCTATAAGCTTATCTGACACCAGTTCATATGTACTTTGCAAATGTGTACGCGCCAAATCGAAGACAGTGAAAAAATGTAGTTGGAATAGATTTAAATTCACTGCACCCACCAAATTGTCAAGTTGTCAAAAAAGAGAATTAATATTCTATTATAAACTTTGCCCTTTAACATAAATGTGTATATTTAAATTGTAAACGATTTATGAGTTTATACTATACATTCGTTGATGGGTTCATTTCCAAAATTATGTTTATTGCATGAATTTCATATGTGAATGTATGTAACCTAATCGCACACATCTACAAACATAGACACTACGTGCATGTTCCACAATGTTTGTTTGTGTATGTATAACAGTGACTTAAGAAAATCAATATTCTGACAACACAGACTGAAATTAGGCGAACCACACATACACACATACAGCCACCCCAAAGGATGGGCTTGTGAAAGTTACCCATTTATTGTTCTACTCCCAAATCCACATTCACTGACACACACACCGTTAATATTTTTGTATGATATCCCCTTTGTAAAAAGTGAAATTAGTTGTTGCTTCATTGGTATGTTTCTATATCTAAAGGTATTTCATTCTTTTCTTGTTTTTTGCTTATAAACTACTCCAAATGATCTGTGACCGTTGAACAAAAGCATACACACAACATAGATATATATATTGTTTGAACTAATATTTTATGTGAAAATAATATCCAATTACGCTTATTTTAATCTTTTGAAACTATTGCTAATTAAGTTAAAGTTTTTATATAAATTAATTTTCATTACGTCTGCCACAACGTCCCAATAAAATTCACTGCGATTTGCTGCGCTCGCTCAACGCTTATCGAACGGACAGGAAATCCCGCGCGCGTGTTTTAACTGTAACACCGACAACCAGAGACTGAAAGCAATTCTAATGAGAGAACATTTCAGCACATTCGGAATTCCATCGAATAGGGTTTGTTCGGCTAGGCGCAATTGACATTCTCATCGTTCTCATCTATTCAATAAAATTTGTTTTAAATTATTAGCATTGTGTATATGTATGTATATTGAGAGTTATAAGAATAAAAAAAATTTTAAGGAACCGTTTTTCGTTTTAGGGTCTAATTTACTAATTAAACCCAGTTCTTTTTAACTTTATCGTAAAATCATTACAAAAAAAAAAGATTATAAACCTATTAAAAAAAAAAATAATCCAAAAAATATTTTTAAAAAAATCCAAAAAAAAATATTAGAAAAAAAAACCAAAAATTGTATTATTTAAAAAAAAACATTCAAAAACCCTAAAATCTCAAAAGAAGTCCTAAAATCTTAAAAAAAAATTACTAAAACTTTGAAAAAAAGTCTTCAAATTATTTTAAAAAAAATGCCAAAATTATTTTAAAAAAATGCCAAAATTATTTTAAAAAAAATTATCCTAGCCCTATTTAAAAAAAAAAAAAAACATTATACTAAAATTACTTAAAAAACATTACAATTTCGAAATATGTCGTTGGTCATTTATATAAATATATTATAAGTAAAATTAATTTAACGTAGAATAAAACAAAACAAAATTAGTTTAAATAAAAAATAATACATATACATATAATAACGTAATAAATACATCCAATATAAACCAACTATAAATGTGTAATTTTTTACTTCGATGAAAGTATGAACTACGGTTAAATTTCTTTCCTTTAAAATAAATAAAATAACAGTATGAATAAACAAAAAAAACACAAATTTAAAAAAAACACAAAAATATATAAATGAACTTAAATTACAAAAGCGGTATTCACACCCAAGTATTACTTGTAACGAAAATGTTCGAAAATTTACAAATAATTTACTTTTCAACAAATGTTACACTTAATATTAAGACAGAAATACTGATAAACATTATTAATTTTAATATTATACTGCTTCCAATTTTTTATATTTAATGTTTTTAAAGAATCTTGCCGTTGCCGCTTGCACTGTGCCAAAAGTCTTCGGTATCTGCAAGCTACGTGTTATCCACTGTGGCAACTTCACTTGAATATCAGCTTTGCAGTAACGCTCGTCCAAAAGCAAAACACAAGCATAATCGTTGATATGCCGCACAGACCTTCCGATGCATTGGTTAACCGCTTTCAGGCAAAGATTCTCATAGTATTCGTTGCCGGCACCAGAGCCCAGTGTTTCATCTAAGTATCGCATCCGCTCTTGTAACTCAACAGATTGTCGATTTGGATAAGGCATGCCCACGACAATAACACACCTTCCCAGATCATCCGCAAAGTTAAGCCCCTCACTTAATTTACCTCCCACTACGCTGAAAAGCAGCGCTCCGCCACTACTTTGTGCTTTTATCGCCGCACTGTAGTCATTTAAAAGCTTTTCGACCGATGAGCCTGCCGCCTCCGCTGCACGCGCCTCAGAAAAGACACGTTTCTTCGTCGCTATTCTCTCCAATATACCGCACTTTTGCAAATGATTGTACACTAAGTCTAGATAGTCGTACGATGGGAAAAAGCATACAATTCCTGCGGGTACTACACTGCAAACATTTTGAATAATCATGCCACATTCGATAAGCTATAATTTAAAAAAATCGTCAAATTAGTTATATGTATATGCAAACACAAAGAAATAAATTATAGGATGATTATAGGAATGTTACTAATAAATCCAAATCCAAAGCAAATCCACTATAGCCAATCGTATTGGACTAGCTATATTACTATATACTATATTATAACCTGCTGATTAGTCTTAGTAACTAAATCGTAGTTATACACGCCAATGGCCTTCGACAGAATTAAACCTAAAAACTCACACTGACTGGAAGCTTGCAGGGTCACTAGACGATTGTTCACTACAATTACCGCAAATTTATTTGTTTACGTACCATTGAATCCGGAACACTCCTCGAATGATGTCCTAAATCTAACGAACTATATACCAGAAAAACCGATAGATACGTAAGGCCATCTACAAGGATACATACAAAACTTTTGAAAGTGATGTTCCCATGAATGGCCTTCTGGGAGCCAAAACTTATAGACCAGGAGCGAAGATTCCTAGTCTGTACTCAAGTAACTCTTACGCAATTATGGTCTAGATATTGTAGTAAAATATTTTAGAGGAAAACAACAATCCTTTTGAAGCAAACTTATCTAATACTCTTCTCACTTTTGACCAACCCAGTTGAACCAGTTGCTTCCTGTACCTGCCAGATGACCCGTTAATACCCGATATGAACTATTAATTGAGTTCTTACCATATCTTTAGTACTGCGCTCAGTATAATTGAAACAAAGTCGGCGTCCTGTTGGTCCTTGTGCAACCACTAAAGGTAATATTGCATCGGATGATACAACATGATCATAAAAATGTTCCCGAACTCGATTCGAACAAGCACTAAATAATTGCTCGGTCAATTCTCTGGTCGGTTGCATTGTTCCTCCAGCAACAATTATCTAGTTAATGTTGTAAATGTTAATATATACAAAAAGAACGTAGTTGGAAATACTTACAGAGCGAGCATCCTGGATAACGTCCGCAAAGTGAGCACCAGGATTTAATAATATATATTTAAGCGTACTATGGCCGACCACACTGGTTATATCGACAGTTAAAATAACACGCCCGTCTTCATCTTTTTCCGTTAATGATTGAATAAATGTGAGGAGAGCGCGGAATGGTGCGCTAATTGGTGTTACGTTATTGAGATTTGTTTGATGGCTTATGTTATTTACTTCATCTATTTTCTCAATGGCAGTTTTATCCTTAAGATTATTTTTTTGCGAATTCTCAATTTGTTTAAGAAGTTGTTTTGTAGCTGAACCTTCCAAGTGTTCATCTACTGATGCTTTTGAAAAAACTGGCTTTTCGGAAAACCCTTGCAACTTTTGGGCCAGTCGTGATTTCTCACAAAACTGTAGCAAAGAAAATAAGTCGATATTGTAAAATTCGCCTTCTGCCGTAAGTTCATATGTGCGAAGCACTCTAGAAAATTGTGACATTTTTCCCGCAGTGACGGGTGTGTCGGTTTGTAGTATTTTTACAAGTCGTTTTACAATGAATATCAATTGGTTGATTTTAAGTAAACTGACTGCACTGAACCGTTTTAAGTACCGCATTTTATACACCGTAAGTTGTTGTTGTACTAATAATAGTTGTTGCAAAGTCAACTCACAGCTATGCAAATGGGCAATTGTATCTAGCAAATTATGCGCCTCATCTATAATCACAATGGCACCTCGCAAGTCGATGCCTGCCTGAAGACGCGTCTGCCGATGCAGAAGCATTTGATATGTGAGCATTATAAGTTGTGCGGACTTCGCAGCTTCTCTTGCCGCGTAATATGGGCACGCATTTATTGATTCACCTTCGCCAACCAACTCCTCTATATCCATTACATTAAACAAAGCAGTTTCGCTTAGATTCTGCATCAAAGTAACTTTGCGATATTTACAACATTTAGTCCCTATATTCTCTTTTCCATCCTTAGTTTTTGGTAACATATCTAGGCACTTTTCGTTAATGAGACTTACGTTAGGCAATTTTTTCACTTGTGGATTTATACATAATTGCAGACGGGATGCTAAGGACACACATCGTATTCGCTTTCCGTATGGCGTGCGTTTTACTTCTCTTACGACTTGCGCTAGCTGTGAATGAGTACGACTGCAGAAAAATACCTAGAAAACAATTGCTATTGTTTTATAATGTTTAACCAAAAACATTTTTTACAAAAGACTTTTATAACTCCGATTCACTTTCCAATATTTTAAAATTTAAGGCACCAATGCTTAATACTTTTTTAATTATATCAGAAATCTGTAATTTCTATAATCATCTGCAAATATGCGTTAAAAGTTCCAAAGTTTAGACACACTACTAGCACATACTAATAGATAAAGCATGTGTTCAAAAAATGTATGTGAAGCATAACACCTACAATCTCATCATTAAGACAGCTATGTAGTATATAAATCCAATAAAATACAATTTATACGATTGACATCGTATTATGGGTTATTATAAATTATACATTCCAGGAATTCACGGCCAACATTATTTTACAATTCCATATGAAGTTTTTACCTGAATGGGACGATATTTTTCTTCTTCATCCTTGGCATCTTGATCTTGACTATCAAAATTCGCAGAGTGTTCTTCCCAATCAACGATATCAGTCAGCTCATTCTCTAGGCTTAAATTAGCATTGCGTACCATTTTTTCCGGATTATTATACCGGCGTTCTATATGAAATTCTTTTTGATGCTCATACATTTTTTTTAATCGGTCATCATGCAATTGTAACAATTTTTGAAAACGGCGGTGAATCCCAAGTTGTTTGTTTTTCTCCCTAGCTTCATAGCTAGCAGTTATCCAATCTTCCACCACATCAACATTGCTCCCAATACGTTTAACTTCTAAGTCCAGATTAGAAATGCGTTCCGCCAATTCTTTTCGCTCCAATTTCTTAAAATAACGATTAATTGGAAGCAACAATATTTTATGAAATATATTACCTCACGATCTTCGACCCATTTTAAAACAGAACAGGTTAAAGTCAATGACTTTCCTGTACCCGTTGGACTCTCAAATATACCAATTGACTTTTGGGTCAATGTATCGTATACTGCTTCCATAAGCTCCTTCTGTATTTTGTAAGGAGGAAATGGAAATTCATAATCATTTGGAGTATCTAACCTTTTTTTAGGCGAAAACATATTTGATTTTATTTATTGACGTGCTCATCACAAAGTTTTTCTTTTTTTGTTTAAAACGTATATTAAATATAACAATGCCCGCCCGCCAGCATGATATTAGGGAGTAACGAAAGTGACCATTCACAAGACATTCCCACCTCCAGAGAGTACGTTCACAATAAAACCAACATGGCCAACACTGATGGCGATAGGTCAATACGAGTTGCGCAAAACAAAATGATGTAAAAATTATTTATAAATATTTTTAAATTGGGTATAGAATGATGTTAATGCTGTTAACAAAAAATTAAATTATATAATCTTGATATAGATAAATATGCGGTATATTTTTAAGCGTTTTAATTGACTTATTCATGGACAAACTAGAAATTCAATAGAAATAACTATTGTAACATAAGTCATAATAACTCTTTTGAACAATAAAATAAAATTTATCATTGTGAAATATGTGTAGAGATAATTAGAGAGCTGATACTTCCTTTAATATAGGTATAGATACGTTTTTCAATCGCAAATTTTATTTACGTTTAATATTTCAGCATAACTCTCTTAAATAATGTATATATACTTCTTAAATAAAATATTTGAAGAATTTGCAGTATCTTCATAATATTAAATATAGTAGATAAATTTCCATATGTACTTTACTCCATTTTTTTATTTTTATTTATTGTAAAACATCCTTGAATTAATTAAAATTCTTGTTTTAATTAAAATGATAATCGAACTAAATCCTTTGCAGTTAAAAGAAATAAATATGAAAGTATCTTAATATATAATGTACATATAAAAGAGTAATGTTACCATTTTTATTAGAAATATTTTATGCATACTCGTGTATTATTACATTTAATACCCAAGCACGAGTGGCTCGGTCCCTTCGTCTTTCCTCGTCATTATCTCTCCCACAATAAACCGGTTTGGGTTACAAAAGAGTCTGTATTAACTGGCACATAGAAACGCTTCTATTTTTAACGAACAAAATGTCGAACACGAAATTTGGACACGAACACTGCCATCAACGGCGAAGCTAACACGATCGTCAGACAAATTCGTCTCCGGATAGATTGTTAACAATTCATATATAATATTTGTTTATATTAACCCGTCTGTGTGTTTTTTTTTCATTGAACAATATGAAGCCACTTTCTTCACATACATACATATATTATAAATAAAAACGTTATAGAAATAGAGAAAACCAATTTAGAAATTTAGACCAAATCTTCAACTGAAATTCTTCATAACAAAAATTACAGCATAGCATGTATAGTAATAACATTGTAAAACATAACATGGCAACACACTGTAGCTGATTGTGTCAATTGGATGTTTTATTAGTAGAATAATAGTTGGCCGCCCGTGCCAAGTGTTACTTCAGTAGAGAATATAAGTGCACTTTTACATTGAGACTCAAAAGAGGCTCATTTTTTTCAAATTCGCTTTTTGTGTCGCTCTGTGCATTCACACGGTCAAAAAGAGTCTAGCAACTCGAGTCTAGTTTTTCTGCATTCCTTTTTTTACAAAATTTTCGTAAATATTTGTGCGGTTCGACTGCGCAACACTGCGTGCTGCGTATTTCATTTGTATGTTGAGATGATGGTCACACATTTTGCTTGCAATGAATTACCATGAATATGGTAGAACAATATGCATAATACAAGTACCTACCCGCTAAATAGTTTCAAAGAAATACTAAAGACGGGAATTCTATAACCCACAAGAATGTATTGAATATCCGCTACTAATATTTTCAAGGCCAAATTTATAATAGGAATCTTCTAATCTTTAAGTATTAAAAACTCATAATTTCTTTACTCCGTATTAAAAATTCATAATTTCTTTACTCCATAATCTATATCTGAATTTTCTCCTTATTTACAATTTGTCATAATATTTCTATTATTTTATGCATACATATTTGCATATTACATACAAAAATAGATAACAGAACTCAAATTAGCGATCGAATTCATTTGAAACAGAGCGCTCTTGCAACCATTCAAAGAATTTGAAATTCAAAAGGAATGCTGAAAGGGAACCCGAACACAAGTGGCACGGTCCCTTCGTCTTTCCTCGTCGTCCCCTCGCCCACAATCATTGTATAAATCTACAAGTAACCAATCCTAAGATTTTCACTAATACACACGCAAAAATATCCCACTTGGTACGGGTTGCCTCGAAAATTCTACAACTAAAATCACACTTGGTACGGGTTGCCAACCAATATTCTTCTACTAAAGTCACACTTTGTACGGGCTGCCAACCAATAATCTACTACTAAAACGTCCAAATGACAGAAATGCACTAAGTAGGCAACCCATACCATGAAAAATGGTACACTTACGTGTGTATTAGAGAAAATCTTAGGATTGGTTTCTTGTATATTTATACAATGATTGTGCGTAATAGCAATCATGGAAATAATTGCAAAATGAAAACGACTTGGAATAACAAACCGTGTGATAGAAAGTCATACAAATATATATTTATTTAATTCCGTATTATTTATATATTTACAATTGAATATTATTATTTTCTCAATGTATTGTGACGAACACGGATGATAGAAAAAAATCGAATTGACGGAAAATTGCCAGAACAACTAGTTAGCGAATTTGAAGTTGCCAGAATGTTCTATAAGCAAGCGTTTATACACAGATTCTTTTGTAACCCAAACCGCAATCTTTTTAGCATTCCTATTCATTTTCAAATTCTTTGAATGGTTGCAAGAGCGCTCGGTTTTAAATGAATCTACGTTAATCGTTCAGAAATTTGAATTCTGTTATCTGTATTTTGTGTGTGATATGCAAATATGTCTGCATAGAATAATAGAAATATTTTGAAAAATTGTACATAAGGAGAAAATTAAGATACTCAAAATTCAATTTTAATTTTTAATAACTTACAGCATAACCGCACTAAATAAGGGATGCCGGACTGTGCAGCAAAGACAGTTTTAGTTAGAGCAAGGATGACATGATGCGAGACTCTCTCATTTTCGTTGATTTTTCTGTTATTCTCCTTCCCTGATTATTAAAATAAGGGAATTTCGAACAGCTGATGTTAAAAAAGGCGGGATGCCAGAAATAAACCCGCTAAAAATAGCTAACAAAAGCAGTGCGAAAAGAAATTTCAAGGAACGACACAAATACTTTTGAATAACGTGCAACTAAATTTTATTTGTTAATTTAATTTAAAACGTTCATTATAAAACCATGGCCTTTTTTATGACTTGTATTGTTGCTTTGTTATAATTTTCTTTATTTATATGCTATTTTTTTATGTTATGTGATTTTTTAAAAATTTTATGATGTAAATACAAGTAAATAGGGATGTATATGCGTTATATAGGCCTACTCGGGGACGGAGCACCTAAAAATAATATCGAAATGCAAAATACCCCCAAGTTTTTTTTATAATACCCAATCCACTTTCGTTCGACAGTGGCATGATTGGCAAATGTTATAAAAAATGTGGGTTTTGACAGCTCTCTCTCGATTCAAAGAGTCTCGCATCATTTCATCCTTGGTTAGAGTGTTGTCGTGTTAAGAGCAATTGAGACATAAGCAAGAAGTGGTAAGCTCGAATAACGATCAATAGGTGTTAAGTGGAATTAGAAATAAAGATATAATTGTAGCGCCGTGTGGATTTTTTTAAAAATGGAAATAATGGATCTAATGTCCAGTGTAAAAAGTGTGCAAAGCAGCTGAAATATAACAACGGTACGACTAGTTTTATTAAACATCTAAATAAAACACATAGAATTGATTTAACTGTTGTTAATTATAATCGTTCTAGAACAATGAGTGAGAAGGATAGTGTTCTTAATTATTTTGATACTTTGTATTTAATAAATTTGAATCACCCGTTCATGGCATTGCGATTTTGTATATAAATTTACTAACCGTAAAAGTTTTTGACCTTTTAAATTAAAATCGATTGAAATTGAAATAATCGATTCTTCTGATCGACTAATAGATTCTTAGGATCGAAAAATGTAAAACCGGAATCGATTCTTAATGAAATGTTTCCACCCCTTAAAGCGACTGTTCTTGCCGTCAGAGATTAAGAGACTCGTCAACTCGTCTCTCACTGGAAATGAGAGCGCAATTGCTAAACGTCAAAACCTCCTGAACTCAAGCAACTGTCAAAGTTCAGGAGGTCTGACGTTTAGCAATTGGAAAAAGAGGGACGGCCAGACTGAAATCCTACAGAAAAATCTGTCAACAGAGAGATTTCTTGCCGCTGTTAAAGATCACTAACAAAAATTGAAAACAATGAAAATGAAAGAAAACGCGAAATTGAAATGTATGTGATAAAATCTTTTGTTACCACGCTTAGTAGTATTGATTTTCAATTAAAAATTATCAAAAACATTTATTCATTGAGAGCTAATACATTTATTCTTTTGATTAAATATTGAAAGTTTAAAAATCAAAAGTTTTAATATATGAAAAAATCACAAAAAAGGGTTTAAATAGTTTCTGCATATGTTATATTAATATTTAATCTAAATAAATGTTAGGTATTTTAACTTAAATGCCCTAAAGTTATTATTTTGACTGATCTGGCTACAGTGCAAAACGTTATAAAAAACGCTAATTTTGAGGCGCTCTCACACTGGAAAGATTTGGGCATCCCATTGTCCCTGCTTGCCGTATTCTCGTCACTCTCTCGCTAACAAACTACAAACCACTGAATACGCAGCGTTGCCGTTTTGGTCCGATCGGACCAAAATTGGTAGTTTTATTTGCCTTTGGTAATTTGGTTGGTAGGCATAAAGGCACAATGCTAATGTGTAGCAATTGATGTCTAAATACTCATGCGATACATTGCTAGCAATGAACTGTCATTTTAATGGTTTGATAGAGCTGTTTTCATTTGCACAAAAATTTTAAAGAGGCAACATGATGCCAGCAAAGATGAAATGCCAATGTTTTATGTTTTGTTGCGCAAACTGCGATTGAGCAAAATAATATTCAAAACATGGAAAATAGTATTTAAATATTGTACATATATTCATATGTATATGTATGGTTAATATTTTATTGATAATTGTTAACATATGTAACTATCAATCATCATATTTAATTATTAAATTGGAATTGCAATAATTATTTAATTCTTGAAACATAAAATCTTATTTTTCCAAATAATACATTTATTGGAAAATGTTAATTTCTTTTTTTTTCATTCTTCACATAAATTTTTGTCATCCTAATAAAATTTTTTAATGGTTCAGGAGCTCAAACATGCGCTATATCAGCTCGAACATACCTATCCGACGTCATTTCGAAAGTGAATATATCATGATAGTAAATTCCCACACAACAACATTGCAGACCTCAATGGCAATGTAACATATTTGGCCGATGGTGAGCAATGTACATTGTCTGTGGAGCTGCGGTGTAAGGTTAAAAAAAAATCATGAATGGGAACCTGCTCAATGTGTGAAAACGAGAGATCTAACTATATCTGAAACTATGAGATAAAGGATTATAATTGTTAATATTATACTTTCAACTGGTTTTTTAGGTATAACAATAAATTACTTAAAACTTCCACAATAAGCGAACAAAATTATATTGACGTCAGGTAAATGAAAACTTAAACTTTTACGACATGTCAATTAACAACGGTTTTGACGACTGGAAAGATCAGACTGAAATCCTACCAAAAATATATGTGAACGGAGGGATTTATTGCCGCCGTTCAAGATCAATAATAAAAAATTTAATACAATGAAAATTAAATAAAATGCGTAGTTTAAATGAATGTGATGAAAATCTTTTATGATGAACCATTGTATATTTTGGGTTCACTTTTGTTCCCAGCGGTCTTTATCCTCGTCATAGCCTGATGCAAATGTCTTGTCATAAGATATATTGTCATAGTTTATTGTCTAGCTATGCACAAGCTATAAGACCTAAGCCAACTTCCAAAGAGCAAATCTGCAAAATGTTAAAAAAAAAATTCAGTTTAAAAGCAAGCGATTTGCAAAATTCAATATAATAATAATATACATATGTGTCTAGCTGAGGATCGTAACGTTCAAAAATGCTATGGCTTAAAACATAAATGTGACCATGACATCTACCTGTTATATGAAGAGTAGCAATAAATATTTTATCTAATATTACTTTGTTGGGCTGAGTAATAAATCAGTGACTATTTTAGTTTGTTTAGACAATTAGTTGGTCATTCCTCTTAAAACTGAATTGCTTTTGCAGGTTTTGAAAATTCTTAAGACCCCTTGCAACGGTGAAGTCAAGTGGAATTTGTTTTTGTAGCGGCAGTATGCATTTTAATGATAATAAACAATTTTAAAAACTATAGACCGGATCTTCTATAGTAAAAATAAATCCAACGTGTCGAATCACTGGAACATGCGTCAGGTATTTGGCTCTTACAAATTTCAAAACTTAAGTAATGTCGTTATATACATAGATATCTTCGACTCTTCTTCATTTTTTCAAATTTAGACTTGATGAACAGTCTCCTAATATTAATAATTATTTTTTAATCTAACTTACAGCTGGTGAAATTTTCCATTCTCATCAAACTGACCACGAACGGGAGTTCGGATGTCGTACAATAAATAAACAATAAAAAAAAATGAGTGAAACTATTTAATTTGAAATGTAAAGTATTGCGTTTATTGCGTTAACGAGCGTCAACAATAAAATTCTCTATTAAAAACTTAGAATTATTCCAAAGAAGTCGTTGCCAATGTTAGAGAGTGAGAGTATACCTAAAGCCAGAGGTATAACGTTTCATGATCCGCTGCACGTACTCTGTATCCCGTCGTTTGTTTGACCCATAATATATTACTCAATTCCCTTTTTCCTAAATGTAGAGGTACTTTGCTTTGTCCACTATCAACACTACCCTAATGCTTCTAGTCTAAAGCGCTTTCACCATTATGCTTAAAGTTAACCTTCGCCTTGTTTTATTTCGTATATTTCAGCTGAGGACGGCGTTGGGCTCTGCAACCTCTTTAACATTGCCAAAAAGTGAATAACTATACAAAAATATAATAGCAGAAGATGGTTAAATATTTTTGCGACCGCCAATAAATAATATATTATCGCACAATTCTAGCACTGACCCCACGTGGTTCTGTAAATGAGATATTTATCTTTGTCCGTGCTGCAGGGTTACTGATCCACGAAAATGCCTTGAAGACCAGTAGCTCACAGCCAGTAATGGCCGTATGTGTGTCAACAGAAAGTCCGCATCGAATTGCGTAAGCCGCAGACATTAGAAGTGGTAGTTGTTCTTGACGCGCAGGAACATCGTAACTAAAGCAAAGCTTTATGGCATCATAGGCTTATACCTCACGAGTTATATTCAAGTTTAACATCCAAATTCATAAACTCGTCGCTTTGGATGATCTAGTATGATCAGAAACAAAATTTAAATTACACAAGTACTGACCTTTAGACTTTACATGTATATTTAGACTCACCTCCATAAAATTCAGTGCATCGCACCGACCTTGTTAACGGTAATCAGCCCCTGGCCAGTGTAACAAAAGGTTATTAGACGTTGGAAAATATCGCTATCTATATCATTTATTTCGAGGACTCGGTACTGCGAGTACGATACACTGCGAAGTACCAAAACTATAATTAGATATTTTTTATGTAACTGAGGACAAAGAAATACTTACACACACGTTGGATTTTAAACTTTAATTGTCATATCAATTAGGGAATGGTCGTCGTAGAGGCCAAATATTTTCGTCATTAATTTCTCCATGAAACGTTTCAGCCACTTGAATTAGTCTGTAGAGCAGGTGTTTGAGTAGTACTTGTGGCCATTATTAGTTATTGAACTTTCTTTTTGCAATAAAAAAAAACAATATTGAATAAAATATTTCAAATAAATAAATTCACCTGGAGGTTTGCTTTCAAGTTATCTAGTGTAGGTATAGTGGTGTTTGAAATGGCGGGACCATCCGAAACGACGAAATATAGTGTTAAGATATTGGAAAATATTTTTTTTACAAAAATTATCGAAATCGGACCAGAAGTATCATAAAATCCACAGATACCGAATATGTGGTGTCCAGTTCCTATGGCTGACTTTTTACCGAAAAGATCGGTAAATTTCTGAGATAAAGTATTAAAATTCATACAGCACCCTTCCTTATAATAATGTACCCCTGTGTTAAAAATTGGTAAAATAGGTAAATACCTCTCCTAGCCCCCCTATAAAACTAATATAAAGATTTTCAAACTTTCGTTTCCCTATATTAGGGAATGTCTCTTCCTGATAACGGTGAATCATTGTGCCTAAAATGGTTGCGACTGTGTCAATACTTCGCTTAGTTCCCATACACTTGATATAAACGTTCTGCCGACGTTACGTCCTATATATAGGTCAATATTTAAGAGTTAACCTTAAATGGTTTATGTTGGTCAATATGTGTGATATTGTATTGAAATTAAGGGACATCTTTTCCATACCATTACTAAATAAATCTTACGGATAATGAAAAAGCACGCTTTCGACATATTGAAAAACTTTACTGCAGGATGAACCGACTATTGTAATACTTTGACGAACATTATTTTTTAGTATCAAACTGATCGTTTGAATTTGAGGGAGAAAGAGACAGGGAGTTGATTTATTTACACGCACGGGATTCGCTATGTATGAAACCTCTCTACGGCGTGGTTCTGTAAAGATATATGGTCACTATTCATACGGTCGCTGTGCCAGAATATTGCCATCCGGGTTAAAAGTTTACAGCCAGGTAACGGTTGAATATTTATTGCGTAAGTCGCAAATACTTGATTAGATCAGATAACTGTTGTTCACGTGTAGCTGGTCATATTTTTACCAACGATAGTACCGTAGACAATCTCCTCATAAGGCTGTTAAACTCTATAATTGGTTGCATAATTGATATTTAAAATATCCGCGCTTTCGCTAAGATTCATAAACTTGAGCAGCAGTGCGAAATGAGACAAAAGACAAGCGGAAATAATTTTCTCACATTTCCCATAATGTACGTCGATAAAAACATTGAAAATTGTGGTTTTTGCGGATTTTCCGTTTAAGACTATGTTTACATGCAAATATGCACAATACATATTATGGAAATGTGTTAGAAAAAAATTAATAAGCATAAAAATTATTTAATCAAAAATATTTTTTGTGCTGCGTAGATGAAGAGTATAATAATAGGAAAAAGTTATATGAAAGAAAAATGCAAAAAATTGTGCGACTTAAGTTGTCGTTTTGTGATGCAATGAGCGACACCAAAAGAGAATTTGCCGCTAATAAGAAACAAAAAGAGTCCTTGTGCGAATGTAGTCTGAGAAGTTCACATTGCGTTTCACGATCTAGCGTACTGGCACCCTGTAATGTATTGTGACGAACACGATAAATTGCCAAAAGCAGCTAGACAGCGAATTCGTAGTTGCCAGAATATTCTAGAGGCGAAATTTTGTTAAAGATCTACTTTGTAAGGGCTGCCAGACTGTGCAGCCAAGGCAGTTTTAGTTAGAGTGTTGTCGGGTTAAGAGCAATTGAGACATAAGCAAGAAGTTGTAAGTTCGAATAACGAGCATTAAGTGTTAAGTTGTGGGAATTAGAGTTAGATAAGTGTATAGCCTTTAAATCGGGGCTTTTATTTAGCAATCCAGTGATCGAACTCAAGAGTGAGTTACAAGGTAGACGATTTATCGAGAAATCCGTTACAATTGGTGTCAGAAGTGGGATTGTCAAATTAATTCAAAAAGAGAGAATTGTTTGAAAATGGCGAAGTTTAATGATCTAAAGATTTCACAACTAAAAAAGCAGCTGGAGCAACGAGGTTTGGCGACAAATAGATTAAAAATTTAATTACAATCACGGTTGCGAGAGACCATGGAAGCAAAAACGTCAATGTTAAGAAATACATCTTTCAATTAAAAATAGAGGAAGAGACAATAAAGATGCAAGAGAAGAAAGTGATTCAATGTTCAATAGAGGTTATTTGTGCTGCGTTGGAATCGTTCTTTGAGTTTGTCAGCAGTTAAAGTGGAGGAAGCGTGTGAACCAGTGTCTTCACAGTATGGAGAGTAAGAAGCTTGTGTACCCGCCCAAGTGTCCTCACAGTCAGAAGAGCTGGACGTGCGTATGTCAGCGCATTTGTCTTCACAGTTAAAAAAGGAGGAAGCGTGTGATCCAGTAAAAGAGTCCTCACAATCAGAAGAGCAAGAAGTTTGTATACAAACATAAGTGCCCAATCAGTCGGAAGAGCTGGACGTGTGTGTGCCAGCGCAGGTGTTCTCACAGTTGGAAGAGAAGGAATGAACCAGTAAAAGGGTATCCACAGTCGAAAGAGCTGGACGTGCGTATGTCAGCGCAGGTGTCCTCACAGTTGGAAGAGCAGGAAGCGTGTATACCAGCACAGGTGTCCTCACAGGTTGAAGAGCAGGATAAAATTAAACCTGAAACGAATGACTCTTTGCAAGAAGGTCCAGAATTGGAAGGTGTGTAATGCATAAAGTGGAGTTGAGCCAATGTACAACGAATGGAGAAATAAATTCAGAAAGCTCAGTCACAAAAGCATAATGGTCAGAGCGGCTGCTTGCATCGAGCATGGTTCTTCCAAAGGTTAAAATTCCTCTTAACGTCTTACAACTTCTTGCTTATGTCTCCATTTGCTCTTAACACGATAACACTCTAACTAGAACTGTGGTTGCTGCACAATCCGGCAGTCCTTATATAGTAAACATTCTAATGACTACGAACTCGATGTCTAGTTGCGTCTGTCAATTTATAGTTGATTCGATTTCGTTCTATCATCCGTGCTCGTCACACTGCCTTCCACTTAAGTATGATCGCGCCGATAAGACATATTTGCAGTGCCAACCACAAAGCTGTAATGTTCCTCATTTCGTCTTCTAAGCTGGTGTTAACTTCCTTAGGCGTCTTTCTCTTCTTAGAGTTAATTTCATCTGGTTAAATGAGTTAAGCCTCACCCTATTAATAAACACTACACTCAGCAAGATGTCGCCACACGACGACACCCCACACCGCCAAGCAACAAAAAGGATGGTCCCCACATTAGAGGATCTGCATTTGTATCTACACTGCGCCGCGTCAACACCGTTCGCCATGCACTAATTCGATTTAATTGCATAGCGATTCAAAGTTTTTCAACCTTTCAACGATCCTGTGTGACGCATCCTTTCTCTCACGTAATTTGATTTTCACCACATTACTTACGACAAGTGCGCAATTTTATTGACATCGGCTTTCGGATTCTACATTTATAATTTGTTCTTGTATAAAATTAATACTAAAAACTAAGTCAAATAAATTGTGTATCTATTTACTCATGGTCCTTCGAGCATTACCGAAAGTCACCTTCGGATGTTTATATAAAAAAAAATTAATTAAGTTAAAAACAATTATGGTGACACAAAACAAAACAAAGTGCGGGAACAAAGTTCAAAGTACATATACATATATTCAAAACATACAATAAAAAGTGCAGTACATAAAGTAAAGAAATACATATAAACACATATTTATGCAGCGGAGAAATAAGTGCAGTGAGATGCAGTGCTAGTAAACATATATATCTATTTATATGTATATATAATAAAAAACTCATATACAATAAAATATAAAAAAATTGCAGTGACATGAAAATATCCACATATACTCTTGTAATCCAATTAATACAATAAACGGGTGCGAAACTTAAAAGCACCTAAATTCAACAACATAAATAACAAGTAAGGAAGTTTTAAGTTCAGGTGTAACCGAACATTTTATGCTCTCGCAACTTGCAAATATCAAAACCCGGGAAGTTTTTTCAGGTGTTGACAAAATTTTATATTGAAGGAAGTATTGATCCGATTCAACCCATTTTTGCCTCAAAGACATATTATTATCGAGAGTTTAATTAATTTATTTTATTATATGAATTCCAATTATGTATCTTACAATTTACCGATATTTTCGGTAAAAAGTCAACTATAGGCACTGGTGCAAAGTGAAAGAATCAAACGGTATATAAAAGGGTGTTATATGGGAAATAGGCGTGGTTGTAATCCAATTTCGCCCATATTTGTACTATAACATAGGAATATGGGAAGAATGTTATGTACCGAATTAGATGAAATCTATTAACCAGATCCCAAGATATGGATTTTCACCTAAAAGTGGGCTGTGCCACGCCCACTGCGTAATTTTGAACGCTGTTCCCTTAAAATCAGCTCATGCCATCGCAGAGATAATATTTAATGTCTCTAGTATTTTGTGCTTGATTTATCGCGCTTTTATAAGTTCTTAACAGTACCGTTATATGGGGAGTGGGCGGGGTTGTCACAAGATTTCACCCACTTTCACACTGTAGATGGAGGTGCTAAAAACATTTGTTGTCAGTGTATTTTTATTTAGTTTTATAGCATTAGCGGTTTAGGAGATATGCACATTAAACCTATTAGGAGCCGGGAACAGGTCCACAAAAAAAATTTTAACTGCAGATGCCCCTCCCTAATGTGATCCTGTGTACCAAATAACAGTCTTGTATCTTATTGCGGAGCTTAGTTATGGCAATTTATTTGTTTTTGATTAATGGCGTTTTGTGGGCGTGGCAGTGGTCCGATTACGCCCATCTGCAATACCAACCGTCTCACGGTACCAAGAAACATGTCTACTAAGTTTCATAAAGATATTTAAATTTTTACTCAAGTTAGAGCTTACACGGACGGACATACAGACGGAAGGACGGACAGACAGTCACCCGGATTTCAACTCGTCTCTTCATCCTGATCATTTATATATACATAACCCTATATCTAACTCGATTAGTTTTAGGTGATACAAACAACCGTTAGGTGAACAAAACTATTATACTCTGTAGCAACAGGTTGCGAGAGTATAAAAAGAGAAATTGACGATAGATTATAAATAGAAACAAGTAAGGAAGGGCTAAGTTCGGATGTAACCGAACATTTTATACTATCGCAAAGTCAAATAGTATACTCGTTTGAGATTTCTTTGTGGATTGACTAATATTTTCGGTAGAAGGTCAACTATAGGCACTGGGGTCCACATATTTAGTACTTAGGGGCTTGAACAGTTTTGGTTCGATTTAGACAAATTTAATTTTAATTGCATTATTCACGCAAAGTTTTACCCCGATATAATCATTGTTACCTGATTTGCATAGTGGAAAGTGAAAGAATCAGATGGAATTGAAAATGGTGTTACATGGGAAGTAAGCGTGGTTGTAGTCCGATTTCGCCCATTTTCGCACTATGATATAGAAACATGAAAAGAACGTTACGCACCGAATTTGGTTGAAATCGGTTGAGCAGATCTCAAGATATGGGTTTTCACCTAAAAGTGGGCTGTGCCACGCCCACTGACTAATTTTGAACGCGCTTCCTATAAAGCCAATTTATACCATCTCAGAGATAAAATTTAATGTCTCTGGCGTGTTTAGTGGTTGATTTATCGCGCTTTTAGTAGTTTTTAACAGTACCGTTATATGGGGAGTGGGTGGAGTTGCCACCCGATTTCAACTATTTTCCATTATTAAATGATATCGTGATTAAATTACAATCAAATTTGGTATCTTCTTGACTTATATTAAAGGCCATAAACTTAGTCTCAGTTTTATTGCTTGAAGTGAGATATACATAAGTATGAATGTGATATTAACTCCACCAAAGTGGCTAAATTTTATATTATAAGCTCAGGTTAGCAAACGTCAACCAGAGAATCGGAATTCATTATATGAAGGTGTGAGGTTTAGACTTAGTATATACTAATTTCATTCTAATTCAGCGTCAAACCACATAATTTTTAAGAAATCTTTTCCACTTAATTTCGTTAAAATATCACGTTGATCAACCGGAACGGTGTAAAGTCAGGTGGAAAGACGGAAATCATATATA